AGAGTAATAACGTGAACTATCTAGAAGTGCTAAGACCGCAGTTGGGGGAATTGGTAATGACATCATCAGTGATATTCACCCTCTCCATTTACTGGGGGTTCTTCCTAGACAGGCAAAAATAATAGAATTGTCGTCAAGTTACTAGTTTGGTAGCATTAATATATCTTTACAATAGAACGATTAGAGAAGGTAGTTGATGCATCTTCTACCATATAATTTACTCCTGCCCACTCCTCCCTTCCTTCCTCTTTCTTACGACAATTCACTTCCTCCTTGTCCACACCTCTGCTTTTCCGACTCCTTCCTATATCCTCCTTCTGCCCAATTTTGCTCTCCCTACTGCTCCTGTTATATTATATTATATATTATGGCTTCTCTCCCATTCACTTTTCCTCCCCTTTCTCCCCATTCTGTTGCTCTTCCCACACCTCTGTCATTCTTTTAATCTCCTTCCTCCACGGGAACGTTGAGTTAATAGTGCTGCCCTTCAAAAGCATCTATCGGATTCCTGGATAATCGGTTATTAACAGAGGTTGTGTGGAGACACCGTGACGGCGCGTCCGCCCCGGTTGTGGCGTCTGCACCAGTCTGCGAGCCACCCGCCATCTGAACAACGATTGCCGCCGAATCGATAGCTATATAAGACGCCACCTGGCAACTAGATACGCCACCTGGCGACTAGCTACGCCACCTGGCGACTAGCTACGCCACCTGGCAACTAGCTATGCCACCTGGCGACTAACTACGCCACCTGGCGACTAGCTATGCCACCTGGCGACTAGCTACGCCACCTGGCGACTAGCTACGCCACCTGGCGACTAGCTATGCCACCTGGCGACTATAGATATGCAACGAGGGTTACTTAGGCCACCATAACACGATTTTCTGTTCGCAGTAAACCAACCTCAAGCATTTAACCTAGTAGGGGCATTTTCCCCACAACCACGTCCGCTCTATTACAGGCAGGTTTGCTGAACTTCTGACTGAAGCTTGCGAAATATCCAGATTACAAATCTTGGGAGGATTTTGATATCGAGGTTTGTTCGGTCGGGTTACGTCGAACAGAAAATCAACTATGCGGCGCCATCGCCTACGTGCATCTGTTACTATGTAGGTCTCACACACACACGATTGAATGCAGGCTTACTGTCTGTGTTTTTCTCCCCTGTCAACCAGCGTTCCGTGACACGCCCACACACCCCAGTACGTCTACTGCTACCACCGCATTGGTACCTCGGTCACCGGTGGTATTGCTACCACCTCGGGTGTTAACATCCAATCAGCAACCAGGAACCCCGCTGTCAGAAACATCACAAATACTTCTTACACTAACCAAAGTCTAAAGCCACCAGGAACTTCCGCACACGTGTGAAAAGGCGATGGCGTTTTAGACTTACGGGTGTCGTAACTATTTACGATGCTTCTGGCAACATACCCACTCCCCTTGTTCTACGTGCTGCCAACATATATGCCAGGAGCCCGTTAATTGTCAGAAACAAAATGGGTCTTAACATTAGTCTTAACATTAACTTTTTCTCTTAGACCGTTGACAGAAACGCTGCGAAGTTACCCAAAGGAAAAATCGTATCAGATTTCCTCATAACAATAATGAAACAAAGTGCTGTCGACGGTCTACGAGAAAATGTTAGTGTTAAGACCAATGTTAAGACTAATTTTGTTTCTGACAACAGGCTCCACGAGCTGGCAGTAGCAGCAGTACGTAGTATCAGGGTAGCTGTACGAGGCAGCAGCAGCAGGACTGCTAGGGTGCTGGCTTCGCGCGTTAGGGTGACAGGGGTTGCAGGGCGCATCGCCACGGGAACGCTCGCTGATGCATGAGAGAGAATCCATCAGAGCCGCATGCAATGCCGCTAGCTGTTGCTGTGAGTGCAAAGTGAGTGGAGAAAGTAGAGAGAAATAAATATGGGAGGGAAGGAGGGAGTGGGAGATTAGGAGGGGGTAGGGCGAAATAAAGAAGAGACAGAGAGATAAAAAGAAAGAGAGATAGATATAGAGAGGGAGAAGAAGAGAGGGAGGGAGAGATGGAGGGTGAAAGAAAGAGAAAGAGAGAGGGGTAGAGTTATACAGATAGTTTTAGAGCGAGTTAGAGAGATGAGAGGCAGGAAGAGGTGAGATGGTAATGAAGGGAGGACAAGGACGTGGGGGTCAGGGGTCAGGGTCAGAGGGCAAGTACCGGCTCCAGGGTCCAGCTCAAGATTGACGTGTATCGCTTCTCGTCGTCCGATTCATCGTCACCGTCGGCAGCGGCGGCCGTGCTGCCCGCGTCTACCTCTGTCTCCTGACAAAGCAGTAACCCAGTGTGGTCAACGCTGGGGTCAGCTTGGACCACACACTCACCACGGCGGCCTCTGCCAGGTACGCGCTGACCACTCTCAGATGATTTCTCGCTTGCAGTAACCCATCGATCAAGAGGTACTTTGGTAGGCAGGTCACATTTCATGTTTAAAGTTTCAAAGTTTCAAATTCAGTTACATTCGTTACAGACTGCAGCAGTCACGGTTACCATGATGGTAGAAACAGACCAGGGCAAAAAAGGTGTTTCGTGTATCAGTGTTGGTAATTTTTTCTTGCTCGGCGGTGTTACAGTAAACAAGAAATCAGCAAAGGTTGGCTTACAGTGAGCATTTCTCCTAAATGCGTAGCAGACGCAAGACTCTGTGCTGAGATTTTCACCTAAAGATTACTTTGAAATGCCACGAAATTTATTACAAAAAATAAATCCCTTGAATGCTTGTGAACAATCCCTACAATAAAGTCCCCACAAAAGAAAAATAAACTCGACGTAATAGTTTCGAGAAATAAAATCGAAAATAAAACTTAGAGAGATTCTTCAAAGTACAACAGCAAGCTAGTCGTCATGACGACCACTCAGCACAACAATCATTCAGCGTTCACAAGCAAACGAGTTAATAGATGGTGCCACCATCAATAGAAACACGAAGAGATGACACTGCGCACGAAAGCGGCAGGCGGTTATAACATAGACAAGATAACGCCATTCGGATCTGCAGACAGGCAGGTGGATGAGTCACGCTCGTCAGGTTTCGGCGACAGGTGGTGCCAATCGGAGCAGCGTACAGCGCATACAGGAACGTGCTACACTCACGGGGTTGCAGTAAAAGATGGCCCCTATACGACCCTACCCCCGCAACGCCCATTCCCACGCTGTTAACCACTGCTGCACGCACGCACGCACGCACGCACGCGCGCGCATGCACGCACGCACGCACACACACACACACACAAGCTGTGCCAACACAACAGTCACGTCCCGGCGAACGTGACACACAAATCGTCACATGCACACGAGACTTGCGGACCTCGATAGCCAAACCTGTGATGCCAACAAAACACACGGCAGCAGCACTTGTGACGGGCTTGCAAAACACAAGAACACCACCAGTAGAACACCTCCGTCAACAGAACAACGCTGACAAATAGTGGTTGGGGCACGACGAAACAAAGCTGGATCGTGATTGGTCGTCTAGTAGGGAGTATGTATATACATATATATATGTATGTCCGGTAGCAGCTGAAGCATGCTTCGCCTGCCATTCAAACCAAACCTGCGTCAACCCAAACTAGCAGCAAGCTCTCGGCACCACGCCGCGCACGAAAACACGCGCCAGCATGACAGCGCCATCTGGTGCACCGCAGCACAGTGGCACCACTTAGTGCTGCTCAGCATATTAGGAGAAACAAGTGCTGCAATGTAGTGCAGCACAACAGTGTTGCCACCCAACACTACATATGCAACACGGTGCTGCCACCTAGTGCAGCACAGCACAGTGGTGCCACCTAGTCCTGCATAGCATAGTAGCACCAGCTGCGGATCACAGCAGCGCCACCTAGCACAACACTGCGACGGAATTATGCACAGGGACGCAGGTACCGCCATCTTGCGCCAAGCCAGACAGGATGTGTAATATTTGACGTCGTCGGCAGCCATCTTTAGATTGCTCGTTTGTTCTTCGACGGGCAGATGTTCCTCGTCGCCGACAACAGCTATCTGCTAACAACGAGCTGCGCTTAACTATCGCCGGTCGCCTTGACACTAGCGCCATCTCTTGGCAGTCATCTTAATTAATCTTTTCCTTATCCCGCTTGCCAACTCAATTAGAACGGACAGGAATTCGCAGTGCTCTTTAGATATGCTATTCCACTGTTGACGTACACAGAAGAGGTGTTTAACCCACGAAATCGTTTCCCCCTCAGTCCACAGAACGCCTGATCTTGAACGTTGACGCTCGCCAATTTAGCATACAGTGGCATACTGCCACATTACAGTTTTCATAGAATGGCATTTTTTACTAGTCTTCACATTGTTGATGGTTGAAACACTCATATATGCATCATGAGATTGCATATTTGAATGAAAAAAGTTTTTGCAGACTCGAAAAAATATGTGAATTTTTTTCCACAAGTTTCACAGGGAAAATGTGTGAATCAGGCGATTTGCGTACACAATGCTAAGATCGTCCGTTTACTTGCAAGTATAACGCATGCTTCACAGACAGTAATGCTATGGCACCTATACCAGGTGGTATCAGGTAGAATTAATCGAGAATATAATAACAAACATATACAGGTCTCCAATCGATCTATTGTAGGTCTGCACTTGTCATTCATGGCCCGTTATGAGAAGCAAAAATAAGTCTTAACATCGGTCTTAACATGAACTTTTTCTAATAGACCACTGACAGCATTTTTCCCCTGAAGTTACGCGAAAATTGGGTAGGATTTTTCATTCTTGTAACTTGTTTTATGATGTAATTTCTTATACGATGTTTCTGTCAACGGTCTAGGAGAAGACGTTAACGTCAAGACTAACGTTAAAACTTATTTTGTTCCTGACAACAGGCGCTAGGTTAATTTTGCAAGCAGCGAGGAGAATTCGCGCTGCCCGAATCGTCTCATTGCCACACCTCCAGGAGACTAATGAGCAAACTAACGACAAAGGTCAGCGTAAGGTCACCCACCTTGGCCGCCTCCACCATGCGCGCCGTCGCGTCCGCCAGCAGCTTGGCCGCTGCCAGGAGGCGCTTCTGTAGGTCAGAGTCCTGCGAGTCCTCGGCCTCACCCTTGATGGCGTTGACGAGCTGCGAGGTCGCCTGAGAACGATACGCGAGACGCTATAGACACACGAGACACACACGAGACACTATATAGAGATAGACGAGGCACTAGAGACATTAGAGAGACACTAAAGACATTATAGAGATGCACGAGATACACGAGGCAAATCTTACATGAATGTATGCGACGATTTAATTTATTAAAATTATTTTTTTTTAAAACAAGGAAAATCATTAATTAAAAAAACCCTTCGTAAATGTTTAACCCCACTAAAGTGCGGCGACTACTGAGAATCAGTATAAGAAATTTACTAATCGACTACATTTCACTCAAATTTCTGTAAAATGCTTTCTTACGAAACATGAACCTGCTCGGGTTTCAAGCTCGCACCGACCTTCCTGCATCAGAGCGCAGTGACCTCGCACTAACCTAGCTGCGTCGGAGCGCAGTGATTGGTCAAGCCACGCTGGCGGCCATTAGCGTCTAACGTTAACTGATTTGAATTTGATAAATTATGATAATATATATTACGAATGATTATATAATTGGTTTGAAATTAGGAAGGCAAGTGACTGGCCGAGCAGTGAGTATGTACCTGGGCTAGAATCCTGGCCTGCTTCACCATCTCAGAGGCGTTGCCCATGCTGAGGAACAGCTTGTCCGTTGTTGTGAGGATCGTATCGACTGAAAAATATGCCAGATATATATTATAAATAAATATATATAGATATAGATATAGATGTGTGTATATGGAAGTAAAAAGTAGAAAAAAGAATAGGGTATAAAATTCAACACCCTATTCTATTTTGCTACATATATTTTTACATCTACATGGGTGTTCGTGTGTTTTTACTTCTAATTCATATATGTATATATATGTATATATTATATATATATATATATATATATATATATATATACATAC